CAAAATAGATGTAGAGTTTGCAAAGCAGCGCCTGTTGGACTGGCACTTCCTCCTGAATGACGAAAAGCTCATTCGGGGGAGGCTAAAAACGCCTTTGTCGTGCATAGATGCAATAGACCAGAAGGCTTTACGAAGATAGCTACTATGTTTTTATCATGTCCTGCAATTGCCCTTCCTACTTCACTATAAAAAATTGGCTCAAAAACCGTCCACCGTTCTACGGATGATTTGGGATATCTTCTTCCGGAATGCTCGCATCGATTGCCAGCTTTTCTATTCGGCTTATTTCATATTGCTCCTCGAATATGTGCACCAAGTTGATTTCTCAAGACGCAAAGAAGGCCCAAACCTCATAGTGCGCTTCCAATCAGCTGCTCCGAAAATGGTTGCCGGTCCTATGCCTATGGACTATGAAGCGCATCCGGCCGTGCCTGATCTCTTTCTTCTTGGAAATTGTTGCCTCCGAAGAGATCTCATGTTTACTTATGCTCTTTATGAACAAGGTTTGAACGATAGGTTTTCACTGTTCACCCAGAGAACACACGGTGGAGACATGCTAAGATGAGTTTCAAGATCAGAGCACACGCATCCATTAAGTAACATTTTTTGTCATTTCCAGCATGAAGCAACCTCCCTACGGTGGTTGTCCACGCTGCATCTAGCATCCCGTTCAACTCACTTCTAGACGCTTCCCTAGTTGAGCCTTGGCGATGGCAGAATAACCTCCCCCGCTGGGAACATAAAGATCAATGCTAAGCCTTTTTTGTTAGTGTCTTTCAGACGAATTGGAGCCTCTGAACTACACGAACGAACCCGACCTGGGAAGCTTGGGTGAAACCCTCGATCCTGTATATCAATCCGCGGATCAGCGAGAGACTAAACTTAGCACCGTATCCTTGTTCTGCCCGTGAAAAGAAACCTTATTAAAGAGCCTAATTCTCGCATGCGTTTTCTACCCTACCTCGGGTTTAGTTTTTCACTCTGCTGAAACACAGTCTGCCAGACCCTGGTTTTCTACTGGGCTCTGGACTGACTTTGCTGATATGATTGGTCTAGATTATGCCCAATAGGAAGGTACTCTCATTTAGTCCGTAGGCGGATCACCCTGTGTTCATCCAACACACGTGATTTTCAGTCGTTCCGAGTTGTCTGCCTTGCCATCGTACTACAGATTGACATTACCGGTGTCCATCCGACCACTTGTCTGCTGGTTGGCTGGGCGGAGGGATCCTTGTTTGACTGCATAACCATTTATAGTTATGACTATCAACGGTTGTACCTTTGTGTGGTTTGTTTCGCAAGCGGGATGTTCATCGCCGTTTGTTTGTCGTATTTTAGGGTCCTTCAGGGTCCAACACGTCCCGCTGCTCCACAAACTCGAGTCTTACGGGATTCAATGGAAAATCCTTCGTTCCTATCAGACAGATCATTCCGAGTGAGAATAGGCTCGACCTATTCCTCTCCAGCGACGGTCTCCATTGGAGTTCCTCAAGGCTCCGTCTTGGGACCACTCGTGTTTCTGATCTACGTCAACGACATCCCAGACGTTCTTGCGAGTCCATGTTTACTTTTTGCAGACGACTTTTAAATCCTAGAGTTCCAATACCAGTCCCCTCCAAATGGATGTAGACGCTGTCAAGCAGTGGTCGTTGGACTGGCACCTTCCTGTGAATAATGAAAGGTGCGTTTAAGGTGTCGTTTGGAGGGGATTCAGCGAATGCCTTTGTTATGCATGGTGAAAAGAGACCAGAAAACCTCATGGGGATAGATGCCAATAAAGATTTGGGCATCTGGGTCTCCTCAAACTTGTCCTTCTCACTACACCATGAGAAATCGGCCCAAAAGGCATTCGCCATTTTACGGATGATCCGACGCACCTTCTCCCGTATTACTCGCATGGACTTCCAAATCTCGTGACGCTTGATCTCTTTCCCCTGGAGTGCCGTCGCCTCCGAGGGGACCTAATTCTTACCTACGCCCTGTTTGAACAAAGCTTGGCAAACAGGTTTTTTACCGTTTACCCAGCAAACACCCGGCGGGGACATAGTAAGAAAATCTTCAAGCTCAGGGCACACACATCCGTTAGACAAAACTTTTTTTCATTTCGGGTAGTAGCTGCGTGGAATGACCTTCCTCCGACGGTTGTACATGCTCCTTCTCGAACCCAATTTAAAGCACTATTAGACAGTTATTTATGCGAATCCTCGCGCTGGCGAGCATACTGCCCCGCGCTGAGAACATAAAGAGCAGTGCTACACCCTTTTTTCACTTGTGCCTTTCAGGTGAACGACAGCCACTGACCGACAAGAACAAAACCGACCCGGGAAACTTGGGCAAAAGCCTTGATCCTGTGTATCAATCCATGAATCCGTGACTGCATACTCATTTATAGTTATGACTATCAACGGGTATACCTTTGTGCGGTTTGTTTCGCAAGCAGAATGTTGATCGCCGTTTGTGTCGTATTTGCGCACGTTCCGGCAGACTTTAGTTCGAGTGCCTTCACAAAAGATTTTTATAACGCCGCGAGGCCGGTGTGACGGGCTAAGAGGTCACACCGATGTTGCTGGAGATTCGAATGCACAATGGGAGTGCTTAGCGCATCTGGGACTGAATTAGGTGGCTGGCATGGATTAGACTTGTTACTCACGGCCATGGGCGTACAATTACATTAGCTATATATGAGCAGCACACTGTTTCTCTGCAGTACCACCGGAGGCGTCTGGCCGCATGGTGTCCTCCAACGGTGGACCATCACGTTGATATCAGTTGACGGTGTTTAGGATCAATAACTGATTTCCAATCGTCTTTAAGCACGTTTGTAGATTCTAACCACGCACTCTTCCGGACTCGCCTATCCCTTTTCCAGGATCGCGTATGGTGCAAACAAATTTTTCGGTAATGGATAGGCTGGCACAAACGTGTGTTAGATGAATTCGATTGAGTCGTATTCTGGAATCTCTTCCAACTACACCGTTGGATGTGAATTCCTGCTGAACAAGACCGCCACCACTTTGAGAGTTTCACCTGTGGCACGGGGCCGCGAGGCCCGCTCAAGCACTAGATATCACACCGAACAGTGGCACTACTTAAATCTCGGAGAGATATCCCCGCCGGCCTCGAGCATAACTTGACCCGACGAATTATCGGACCTGAACTGAAAGTGAGCGTGCTTGCTGACCGTGAGGTTTGGAGGACACGGAAGAGTAAGGGAACGGAAAAGGCCTAAATAGCTGGGAATACCCGAAGACCATTTCGGCTGATCCGCACGACCGGACCAGGGGAAACCTTATCCAAATAATCAAAGATCAAAGTGGCGCGACCGAAAAGAAAGAAACACGACTGTTGAACCGAGAGCTTTGAACAGAAATTCTCATAGCCGCCTGCTGCCACTCAGTTTGACCCGAGAACTGTGATATAACCCTGATGGCGAACTAGGAACCTCCTACGGCTTTGGAGGTTCATGTCTGCATATGTTCTCTAAAGGGCTACTGAGTTTCTGATCCGGATGATTTCCGACCCTCAATGGTCAAAAATAGGGTTGAAGTCTTTCGAATTTCTCTCCATGTGTCCGGTGATCCAGAAACGATGACTCCTGGGTCATGATGTGGGAGTTGCACTCAGCCCTAGAGCTGAACGCGCTTTGCTAGATTGCATCCCATTAAAGAACTGTCCTTTCGCCGTCCGTTTATCCAGCTTAATCAAGCTTAACGCCTCGGCATAAAAAGCGATGCTTGTTTTTATTTTCGGCTTATGCCCCAATGGACTGCAGGTCTGATGCTTAGAAGGATACTTTCTGTCGAGAGTTATCTGGGCTCATTCGTCAAGCAAGAAGCAATGACGTTTAGATACTTGCAGGTGATACATCTACTCAAGTCGGTCGATTCGGAGTCTATGCTTGTCGCACGGACAACAGAGAGCGACTTCTCCAATTGTTTGCTGAGCATAAACTGTTTCTGGCTAGTATGAACTTTCTGCACAAACATTCACACCACGTAACCTGGCGGCCACCTACAAATCAACCATGGACCTAGTTGGATCACGTGGCCATCAGCCACTGGTGGAGAGTTACAATTCAAGATTGTCATTCCTCATGAGGCACACAACTTGATTCCGATCATGCTGTCTCCGGAGCATTGCCCGAATCTGGTGGGAACATCGGATCAGCAATGCTGAAGTACGTCGAATGGTATTCGGGAGAAATAACTCACCCTCGATAGATGAACTGATCACACTGCACAGGTTGCACTGGCTCGGCCACGTGCTGCGTATGCCAGTCGACCGGCTTCCTCGAAGGGCTCTTTTCGCCCAACCATGTGAAGGGTGGAAGAGAGCCAGAGGCAGCCAAACAATGACTTGACAGCGAAGTGTGAAAGCCATTACCAGCAAACTCAGCTGCGCTGGTCATTGCCGTCCTCCTGGATGGGGACCCCGAGACGGTGCAAATCAGTGGTTAGAGACATTGCCGACATGGCCCAGTCGCGCCCTCAATGGCGCTCGTGCATACGAACTATTGCCTTGAATGCATAGCTCCCTTCCAAATCTCCCCACTTGACAGCCCACTGATAGTGCTGGATTTATGCACCAATTTATCATCTCCCGCCTGCAATGCGCAGCTACCTACCCCTCCCCCCAAATCATTGGTGAACGAAACTGCGGCAGCTACAATCACTGTACGACAAGTGGTTGGTTATTACAGCTGACAATGATGATGCTGATCATGCTTTGATGCTTGCATGCCTGACATTCCCTTTTTTCCTCAGGCCCTCGCAAGTCAGCAAGAGGCATGCCAAAGCACCATCCTCGAAAAACTAGCATAGCTCAATGGTATCGATCTGTGCTGGTCGAACAACTCGCCGCCGTGAACCAATGCTATACTGGCAGTGAGCATGTGGTTGAAGCGTGGTAACACGTGAAATGAACTGTTAGCGGCGTTAATTGTTGTCTATCCGGTTTCTTCTATTCGACCACAGAACCACCGGATGTCGAGATCGCTACCCATGATTGATGCCAGGAAATCTATACCAGAAGGTAACAAGTACGATGGTGCGCGCAAATCGTTCGAACGCCAAGTAATGAACAGCCTAGGGGACCGAAGCTCCGGGAAATGGAGAAGACTTCTGCTACCGGAAATAGGTATGCCCTATACCAACCGATACGATCGGCTGGTCCTAGGGTAGGAGCGTCTCGACTGTTCCTGTCTAGGCTTGGGCAACGTGGTAATATCGTAGACGTCGCGCTTCTTTCGGGTGGCATGGCAGCTAGGCACCGAAAGGGTATTACGGCTGAACGATTATTATTATTAGGTAGGAGCAGTTGGGGTGTTATCGTCGGGTTTCAACCACTGAGCCGTCTCAAGCTCAATAGAATGAATTGTTCGTATTCTCAAAATTCCAGGCGTGTGAAAATGTACGGAAAGCTCCTGAAAAGCTTGTGTACACAAAGTGGTGTCTGACACAGATGCCCACTGTCCGTTCCTACTCAGTTTCTTGTTCGACAAGTTAATGAGGAAAACGCTGAGATGTCTTTAGAACCCTGGTGTTTGGATATCTGCCGACGAAAACCTCATTACACACTATATCGTTCTCGTCTTTGAACGGTGAAAGCCGTATATACTTTTTGATGAACTGATGAAATTTATCCCGTCCTGTGTCATGCGTTTTGCACCCACAAAGTCTAAAGTCATGCCGCTGGATATGCGGTCACTGGACACGCCTGCTACAATTCAAGGAGCGACACATCATCACTCATGTCCTCAGATGTGAGGAGCGAACAGACATCCTGTTGCGTAAATCGGTTTATAGTTTGGCTGTAGTCAACAACCATTCAACCTGGCAGTATCCCAGCCCTGGTGCAACCCTTAGGGTGGCATGCGACCGAAAGTGTGCTACAGCTGAACAAAAAGCAATGAAAGCCTCGTCGTCTGCAATTTACCCCAGTGGGCTTATATCTTGGACCAATGTGCACAAACAGTGTAAGAGGTTCCATTTCGGCAGCGATCAGATCATTAAACGAGAAGAAAGCTTAATCCCCATTTAAGATCTTCAGTGATTAGTGAAGTTTAACGAAATTATGTCCAAGTGTAATATTTGCCGAGAGATCACGTAATTCTGAAGACCTGAAGGAAAGGCGCATGTGTTATTTATGTTGCAATGCTAAAAGCAATGCCCAGAGGTAAGCCTTTCGTGCTGGATGGATGCCAAAGTAATCTCAGATAATACAGTAGTATAGGCCATCGATTAAGATGGACTACGGTTTCGGGAATTACTAGTATCAACAAGAGCTCGAAGTGGAACGTCACTGGCTTTCATATTGTTGATATATTCAGGTTTCGGAGCACTGATGCAAGGTAGTATACTTAAAACGGATAAGGTGCTTCCCAGACCAGTAGATCTCCATACTTTTTGGAAATGTCCTTTCTGTCTGCAATTATGCAGGTCACTTCTTTAGTTAAACATTTATGACGCGAGTGACAAGCACAGCTTAGAACAAAGATGAAGACCCCATACTAGCAACAATCATTTGTTCATGCGGACCTTGGTGGGTCTTCCGATATGATAGTGCAGGGAACTCGATTATTCGGCAACAACAACTACGACTGTTTTCGCGCTAGTTCGAGGAATTTTGCATGAGCATAGGTGGTTTTAAAATCCAGCGACTTTTGTTCTAATAGCTTCTGACAAATAATTTCCTAATGAATTCCACTAATAAATGCGTCCCGTAATGTTTCATCGCTATACTGTTCTGCACTGACAGCCGTAAAGTGGCAGTATGGTAACAAACTGCAAAGCCTTTGCACAAATTGACCAATATTTTGATCCGTTTTTCTTATAAGTATCCGGGAGATGCCGTGCGAATATTTCGTTTTTCGCTTGTACGTAAATTTCTTGCAAGGTTACAGTAGCTGATTCATAGTCCTTACAGTCTCTAAGCAAGCGGCAAACACTAGGCGCAACGTAATTGAGCAAGGTTTTCTAATGACAAGCTATGGAATCGGGGAAGTCCTCGAAAGTATAAAGCACGTGTTCTCAGATATGTGCTGAGTTTTGAGTATTGGATCGGCATCGCACCGTCCAGGACATAAGAATCGATCCATTGCTCGATGAAACTTTTTGGACGAATAGATTGTATTTGATTCGCAATGGAGCGCGGCGGCAATCAGGTTAAGTGGGGAAGTCTGAGGGAGCAGAAACCAGGCTTTATTCATTCGGAATTTTTACATTGTGAACCAAAACGAGAGAAAGTGATCTAACAATTAAGGATGAAACGCTTTGAGAAAACAGAAAATATACAGCACGCCGATGGTTGTATCGGTTTTGATGTAGCTCTTAGCTCCCGACCTGATAGTTCCCCAATAATAAGACAATAATATAATCGTTCAGCAGTAACACCTTTCCCGTGCCTAGTTGCCGTGCCACCCAAAGTAGGCACGAAGGCTGGGATACTGCCAAGTTGCCCAAACCTAGACAGGGGAATCCGAAAGGCAGAGGTCGGGTTCGAACCTCGGACCTTCCGGTCAGTAAATTCGCGCTCTACCACCGAGCCTTCTCGCCCCTGCTCGATTCTGTACCTGTATACAGCCACAAATGTGCAGTTTGTCTGTCCGCTTGCGCAGGGAATAGCACCGGCCGACGTGCTGACTGATTTGTTTGGAGTGCCGATTCGCCAACTAACTGTAGTTTTGATGCTATTGAAGACATCGAAAATTATTCACCCTCTTATCCATCACTAATTGTTCCGATACAGTCCAGGATATTCCAGGGCACAAATTGAACTCCTCAGTTCATACGAGACAATCTGATGTCCGCTTTCGTTTCGGCGCAATCTGCAATGAACATCATTTACAGCTCGACGCTGATCATCATTTTTACATTAGTTGGTACATGCCTAGACGCGCCGCATACTGTTTTGCTACCTTGGGTCCCCCTACCACTGAACAGCCGCCGGACCATATCGGTTCTATCCGATGCCTGTTTAAATCCCACGTCCTACCATTTTCCCTTAATCGAAACTGTAGCAAATGGCGCCAGGGTACCATTGCTGCGCGGGTTACAGTTGTTAAATTGCACTGACTTGGACCAATAGCGAGCCTTAGTACTAGACTGCTGATCATTCTGGAATAAGTATGCTCATTCACACCATAATGCCGTCCGATATAGATTTCCAGTGAATTTCCCGGGTAAATCTAAGAAGCGAAATCCTGTTTAGCGGTAAGCATAGCAAGCAAGCACACCGAAGCCTGCTGTGTGGTGCTGTGAAGGTGGCCATTTCAGAAAATATTAGTCGTGACTGGGAAGAGGTGTTAACCGTTGTGTGACGCTGGGAACTTGTTTCTGAGCTCGAACACACTAAACACTGGATCTCAGAACGATCACTGCCACTTCTTGATACAGGATGTCGTAGTCATCAAGATTGTGGTACAGTTTAGTAGGCGGTCTTTTACACATCAACTCAAAGCAAGTTTGTGTGTGGATAGAGGGCGCGGTGAAACCAGCAAGCTATTAGATTGAGGAATGTCCAAGAAAATGTTCCAGCTGAATTGTAGGACAGGACTTAGGAGAACATCTTTTGGTAAGCTAATCAAACATGATAACTGCACACAGTTTCAACAGGAGTTCGATTGATATTCGACTTCTGTACCTGTCTTCCATTAGGCCCCTTTTAGCTCGAGTCGTAGTCTGTGGATTCTGACCTTCAACGAGACCAAACAGATCCCATATCCATCACCTACAGGTGTTATGGTACAGTCCTTGCCTGCACCAATCTTGACTGCCAACCTAACGAGGTCGTGTTCTTCTCAGTGCAGATTTACATCAACTTCATCGGCGAACCTAAAGAAAGAGATCACCGTTCGTCAGTATAAAATGCTGCGATCCACAACTCAAAAATCCATTCATACCTTTGCGCTACTTTGCGAGGCATAGCAGAACCGAAGAGTTCCGTACCGCCAAGAATGCACGGAAGCTGACTCAGGTAATCCTTAAAGCCAGGCCGTGGAAACAGTCACTTAATGAGTCCTAAAAATCTCAATTCCAGCGGAGATTAGTGTTTGGATCGCCAAAAGGCATATCTACAACAGCTTGAACAGACTACTGCACATGCATCAGCCCAATTGGAGGTGCATTCTGTCAGTTCAGATGCTACTTCTTCAGACCCAGTAGCCATGTTCCACTGTCGGCTGATCCAACTTGAGAGATGCATTCCGCGTTCTATGCGAACAAAAAACTTCGGGTATCATCCCGTGTGACGCTCTATTTCACGTGATCACACAATGAGAGCTTAAGCAGGCGTTTTAAAACAAGCCTCAAAACACCATATTTTTCTCACCATACCTACATCACATGCCTAAAACACCCTAGTATAACGTCATGGCTATCAAAGCGCGCTCTCTCCAGCCGTATTCTCCAATGGCGACTCGAGCGTCGTTTATGCTCTTTTATGTATGTTCGGCCATACATTCTGGAGCTGAGCTAATCTCTTGTCTGTTTGACTTCCACCGGGCAGTCTTTTTTCGTGGAGTACTGAGTAAATAAATAATTGGATAAATTTCGAAGCGACGCTTCCTGCCGCTTCCCATTTTACACTTCCAGCTCCTCCTGTGCGCTTTACGTTGGCTTTATGTTTGGCCCCATTTCTGGAGTGTGGTGGACACTTTTTGTGAGCCTATATATTTAGGCCTCCGCGATGTAGTTAACCCGTCTCAACCCATAAAATTGCCTGAGGAATTAAACCTGCCACCAACTTACCAATTATTTTACTCGCTGCATTTTTTGTTGATTTTTTTCAGGTTATGTGCTTTTGAACCTCAGATTGTTGCTGCTACGGTTGGCCCTCAGGGTTTTCAGGTGTTCTGTACAGTATGGCCTCACTCCTGCCCAAAAATCAAGGCGACTTCGCCAAACGAGAATATTGGGATAAATTCTTCAGCTCACGAAAGTCCACCTTCGAATGGTTCTGTCCTCGTTGACTGCTTTAATTTGACTGTTCCGTTTCAGGTATGGAGATTTTGTACAACATAGCACGTTCTTCCAAAAATATCTGAAGAAATCGGATGACGTTTTAATTGTGGGGTGCGGAAATTCTGAACTGGGCGCCATGATATGCGACCGCATTGGTTGTGCCTCGGTGCTGAACATCGATACCAGGTACGGAAACCAATCTTTTCATCGTGACGTGATCTAGCGAAGCTCTCATTCGACAGATGCGTAAGCGTCACTGTCAGTCTCCCGCTGGTAATCGCCTGCGATATGAATGCATGGATGTGCTTAAGCTAACTGATTGCCTAGAAGCGAAGAAGTTGAATCTGTTTACTTGTGTCATTGACAAGGGAACCTTGGACGCAATCCACTCAGGAGATCAATCGGAGCGAACCGTTCGATGCATGTTCGATAACATTCGCTCTGTTTTGAAAATGATGGCTCGATATATCATTATAACTTTGGCTCAAGAACATATCATCGAAAGTGTCTGCACTTATTTCCTTCGAGAGTAAGTTACCTTCGAAGCGTTGTTTTCCCACTGTCCTCATAGGTCGCCGTCCAATCGAGATTGCCGTTCACTTAGGGAAAAAACAGAGGAAGGCACACCAACTATTGTTGACTTGCTTAGTCAAGTCACTTTTTGAGGCGACCGGTTCGTCAAACAACTGTAAGCAGGGGCTTTAGGTTTAGGATAGCTTATTCGGTCTATTCACGATGCATTGAATAAATTCAGGCCACAACGTCCCCGAAATCCTAAAACTTTGCTTGGTGAAATGCTTCTTGTCCCAGTGGTAACTAATCGATGAAACAATAGGTCATAGTATTTCCAAGACCGAGGCTAATGACCATATACAAGGCGCTCGTGCACAGAATCGAACCCGGTTCGTCTCAGTGAACGCACACGTCGAGGTTGGCTGGGCTACCTGGACCAGTATATACTATGAACCTAGCAAGCATATGGGTAAAGGGGACACTATTGGTTTCATATATCCGCTGCAGCTCTAAAGCTGTACATTGGTGATTCCTAAATATGCATGTATTTGTGAACTGGTGCGTGGAGTATTATAGGAAAGTGGGTCGAGACAACTATTGGTCGTGTAAATGGCACAGTTTAATAGGAATGGCTTTTGACCCCTCATATGTTGGCGGTTTAATCCAATACGCTTTATTAAGTAGTCGCTACACCTTGGTCATCTGCTCAGTCTATAATATTTAGATGATTTAAACTGCTTCATTGTAGAGTAGTTTCGCAACCGCTACTGTTGTAGACTCTGCTTTTGTCGCCCAAGAAGTCTACTTTTTGACATCCAAATTTTGAATAAAAAAGTTCCTAAGCCCGCATCGTTTCCCTCAGTACTTTTAGTGTCCGTAACCGCGTGCCTTTCCTTGCTATAAGTCTGGCGTCTTGATCTGTTCTTCGCGCATCTTCTCAGTTGCCGCTTCGTGCTGTTCGGTCGTTCTATCGGCAACTCTGGATCCTTCTGGGGGACTAGATCCTTCCACAATGCAGATTCGTTTTACAGGACAACTTAAATGTTATACTAATTCAGAATCTCTTTCGTACCCACTGAATTATCCATTCTGTAGGATTTGATCCTGTGGGTTTGCAATAACTCCAGTTTGAAATTGTTCAATATGATTATTCATGTAAGCTCATTTCTGGGCTATTGGCTATGGTCGATGTCACGCAGCTGTATTTCCTTATTCCGTTGGTAAAACTACTTGGTGCAGGCCACATCCGGAAGTGAGCAAGTGTTATTGTCTATCGTTGCTCTTTGGTAATTAAAATAGGGTGTTTTCCGGTGGACTGTTGTATCCACTTCACTGATGTCCAGTCAACGAATCGTAGTGGAATGACCCAGTGGTTAAAGCGCCAATTTACTGAACGGGAGGTCGGTGGTTAATCCCACGAGAATGACATGTACACAACTTTCGAGGGGGGTCTCGGTGATTCTTCACTCCCTACATGTACATAGAATTTTTATATAAAACGTCTAACCTTGATTGCTCTTGCATCTTCTTCCAATACATAGTAGTTGATGTCGTTGTTAGTGGTAATCCATACAGGTAGTTTTGTTAAGCGTTTATCTTTTTAGTGTTTCACATGAATATCAAATGGATTTCCTCCGATTAACTCGTTGAAGTCGCTCACATTTAGTTGGGTAGTTCTTGGTTCTTCCATTAAATCCAAAGCTTTATTCAGTAGGTTCATGAGGGAAAGTTGACTATGGTCTCCAGACCTTTGAAGTGTTCTGTAGATATCGTTTTCAGCTATTAGTTTCACAAATAGTGTCTTTCCAGTAGTTGTTGGTACCTCAGTTACTGATTCATCCTTTCTGTCAATATCCTTATTCACTATCTGTGTAATCTTCATCGGGAAATCCTGCTTGTTGATCTCGTTCACTTTGAATAATAGATTAAACCAGGCTTCTCCCTCATATGTGTCCCTCGGATGTTGGCTATCCCTGTTATGGTTATTCGTCCGTGTCCTCAAATCTTGATGTTCGTTGTTCTATCAATATCTTCATTGAATAGATGCTTATAGAGTGTTCAGTGGTTTCCTTCCATTGTAGTCCGTATTCATCATAGGTATCATCTTGTTTATTAGAGCTGGGTTCAATTCATTGAAACTCCTAGCGCCATAGACCTCAACCAGAATCCTCAATAGATCCCGTCTCCCTTTCCTGGTCATGTTGTTATGCTTCTGTCAGTACTCGACTGCTGATCATTCTTAAGTACATCTTTTGGATCTAATCATGCTATAGATTCTCGCCGGATTTTCCTGGTAAACATTTGAAGCAAAGCTCTCATTTAGCAGTCGAAGTTTTTTGAGCCGGGTATTGGACAAATCCTACTTTTATGGTGCCTTGAAAGCGGTCATTTTAAACAATATCAGTCATAACTTTGAGAAGGTAACTAACTATGCGCAACGGTAAACACATGGTAAGTGGTATTACCGAACTCTCGCACACTAGCCGCTGGATTTCAATTATCACTGCCATCTCTTGACTTTGTATCCTATCGGGACCACAGCACAATCCAGCGGGATGTACACTCGAACCAAGTTTGTATGTGGATATGCAGGCGGAATGAAGGCAACTACCGTCAAACACTGCTATACGATCGTCGTGCTGATGGACCTCAGCATCATTCTCCTTATGTGGTTATGAACCATACATGACGTAATCCCGGAGACGAGCGTACTGTCACCTACTCTAACTGCCCATCTAAAGTTTCCCACTTTATGAATGGCTCATGTCGACTGAAGTTCACAAAGAACGTTGTGTTAATCCCACTGAGGGCGTCTTTGATATGATGCTTTCATGTGTATTCCTGGTTATTGTTCCAGGGTGTAAGAACGTTGTTCTTGATCGTCTTTTACAGGTAATGAAGCTACTTGTGACAAGACCCTTTATTTCCCCTTTATTTCACTGTTTCAGGGCATTCTTTCTTGGTTTTATGTTAGTAGACACAAGTATTTATTACTAGTGTGTTGCCGCCCATGGTTAATAATAATAAGAAAAGACGATAGAATTTGCAACGTAATTTGGCCTGTTTTCTCGAAATATATCTGATCTGTGAGATGACCGTGAAGTGATGTTGCGTGGATGCCTGACAAGAGCAATTGGCGCGTTTCAGTGATTTGACAAGATTCTCTGCTTGCTTGTGGGAACAGTTCAGAACTCTTCTGGCGGCAAGTTGTTGTCATGGCAAACTCAACTAATTAAATGTTTCCTCTCTTTAGTGCTTTGGTTACAGGTTCAGGGAATTCGTATGGAAGCACGTGACAGTCACCTGTAGTTTAATAAGTGAAGTCCTCATGCTACCCATGGTCATGCCACACTGCATGTCATAAAATAATAAATAATCGTTCAGCTATAGCTCCCTTTTGGTGCTTAATTTCCATGCCACTCGAAGGAGGCATAAGGGGTGAGATACCACCAGGTTGTCCAAGCCTAGAAAAAGGTAGTCGAGATGCAAAGATTATGTTCGAACCACGTACCTTCCGGTCAGTGAGTTCGCGTCCTAACGATTGAGCTGTCTCGATCATCTTAGGATAAGGTATTTGCGTTCAATCTGACCTATTTCGATCGAGACTTTCAACATATTCTTCGAACCTCATTAAGAGTTTGCTACTCTTCGTGGCACATTTAAACGAAAATTTAACCGTATTTTATTATATGTGAATACTAGTGAGCACTCTGACATGTGCTTCTGTGTTGTCCATACCACTTGTTTTCTTCACTCCTGGGGAATTTGTCCTCACCATAAACCTACTCCATTTCCTTTCTCCAGATCAAATGAATGGTTAGTTAACTGCCATCAGCTGACAAGCAACAGACCCGGTGAGCGGGACAGTACCGGCGACGGTGTATTTGCTCTTCCTGTGTATGGTTTCGTCTTTACCAAATTGATGTCATCTCCTGACTTACCGCGAGTTTCTGTATATCCACTCGATTCTCCTAACCCCCAATGTCTTGGTGGTGGTGAACGGCACGTCCATCAGCTTGAGCATCAGCTACGCAGCTGGATAAACCAGGAGCAACACTGCAGCTTACTCAGGCACAACATAAGGTACATCAATCGCTTTACTCTCCCCATACTTTCCAGTATTCGCCGTGTTTAACTTGTTTTGTGTGGTTGGAAAAGAAGTTGTGCACCAAGAAAAGATACATTCATTCAACATCCGTGTTGACACGGATGCTTCACCGCCGTACAACCACAAAGATTATCTAATCATACTTAAAGCCTTAGAATGAACAGAAGAATTAAGAGCGGATGACGTATGGAACCTGGTACTGGTCTGTCGCAAGCATTCTGAAGTGTCTGCACCTCCAAACTCTCAGTCAGACAATATGGAAAGAAACTGATGACAAGAATACTACTGACGTCGATCAGCCGCCATTTTTTGCAATGTCCCTAGCTAAGCACAGGAGGCGCAACGCGGACCCCATTTTGGAAGACCTCCTGCACCGATAACGCGTAAACTCCTCATAGTTTCTTTCACACCCTCCTGCCAAGACATACATTGTTCACCTCATAATTTCTGCTACTCTGAAAGGTTCACAGAGAACAGAACTCGCCCCGGTAGGCTGTTTTTATATGCACAACACATTTCCGAGCCATCACACTTGGTGATGCTGGATGTTTTCCGAGATTAAGGTACCTACTGCACAGCCCGTTTTCTGATTACCTCGTAACGAATTCGTTGTTGCCATCTGACACCAGCAGCGCTTCTGAGGCATCGGTGGTCGAAAACCTGAAGACGCCTCAAATCATCAGTTCACAGAGGCCACGTCTCGCAATCATACAACAATACCGTGCTCACTGTATCCTGGTAACCTCGACTCTTTAGACCCAGTGATGACGTCACAAGTGATGCAAATTAGCAAACGTGATTCTGGCCTTTGAGATATGCCCAAGGACTTCAGACACATTTCCGTCTGCGTTAATACAACTACCGAGGTATATAGAATTCTGCATAACATCCAGTGATTCTCCTTGAATTGATGGGGTTATGTTTAGAGCTTAACTTTGCACCTTGAAGGTGCTAGGTTCATGCTGAAAGATGGTATGACGGTGATCGGTCTATTCAGCACGGCTTGTGTATCGTCTTGGTCTTCAAAGATAAGTGTGTTGTCGTTTGCGTACTCCAAATCGACAGTTTGAACACCGGGGTTTTTAAGACCTTCCAGCGTTCGCCTCATTATTTCATTAATGATGAACTTGAACTAAAATGGAGAGACTGGAGATCCTTGGAGAGCTCATCACACACCCACACACCCATAGGTATGTATATATAGGGATCGGATTATGTTCACAAACTTCTGGGGTATACCCTGTTGAGCAAGTGTTTTTAACAGCACTAACCAGTCGACAGAATCGAACGCACCCTTGAAGTCAAGGAATACGATGATTTGGGGTTGTCTGTACATGTGGCGTTGCTCTAACACCTGACGGAGTCACGGCTTTGTGATATGTCTACTCTGAGAACAAGGTATTTGCTATCAAGAAGACATCTTTCACAGTTTTGAATGATCCGCTCTTTCTTGTATTGGGGTTAGTCTCAGTGAGTGCCGTTGCGCAACTTAATGTCTCCTTACGGTTGAGCAGCTACCGGGCCAAAATGGTCATATAACCATAAGGTACCGATGGCGAAGCTATGTAATCGATTACCGATCTTTCTGAAGTACCTACGTCGATTTAAATTACGTCTTCCGGTTTAGGATTTTTAGGCTAGAACCAAATGGCGCTTTCTTCGTTTGACAGTCGAAAATATTTCTGAATGACAAATTAAACAAGCATACTGCGATGGTTTCAAAGCGGCTCCCTCAGATGACGTAAATCGTAACTGGTCAGCGATACGAGTTGCTGGCTGACCTTCGAAGCTCAGCGTACGATATTTCGGAGTGCCTTTTATCCCTTCATGATCGGAGTACAGTATGGCTAGACAGTTCGTTGAACGAAGCCTGTTTACGGATAAGGTACTATGACTTGAGCCTCAAGACGTGAATATGCTCGCAAGCACTGAACCAAGTGGAGAGTCCATGGTCACTCTGTTTGTCTTTTTTTTAAAGTCGCTCACTGAACAGAGCCTAAACTTTCATCAATTATCTCAATTTCACCGAAGGTTTACGGTTAACACTCTTCAGTTCCCATTCAGTGAACAATTTTACGAACAAATAAATGGGGTAGTCATCGATTCTCTACCGGGTTCAGTGCGTGAGGATGCATTCATACCCGAATTGGAAAATACGGTACTGGTCATTACAGTATAATCTTTTACCATCTGGTCTGCTTTTATGTTGTGTCGGAAACAATTGTTCGCAAAACCAGGCGTTATGCAGTATCTTGTGACAGCTACGTCGGTTTATACTGTATGATACTCTGGTTGATTCTGCTACTATTCTGAATGCCTTCAATGAGTCCCATTCAGGCATCTTTTACATGCATATCAGCTGCTCTTTCTTAATATGTTGCTGATCAGAACACAAGGTGGTTCGTCACCGAGGCACGTGCACCGCAAGCGAACACGGACGGGTCAGCCTACACTATATGTGCCGGTTTTTTGCCCTCAAACGAAATCGTGTATATTTCCTGTATGACAGAACAGTGGAATTCCGTTCGGCAACCACTCTGAATGAGGACATGGGCTGTGCAGCTATCGGACTACACGCAGTTCGTATTCAGTTGGCAGTGGGAACAGACGGATGAGGGCAGTAGATGAGGTATTGAAAACTGGTTTTATGAACAAATGGGTTAATAAAGATCATGAATTAAGCAGAACGTACAATCAACAATAGCGCGATCAGTAGGAGCTGAAAAATGAATGATGAGGCAGCATGGCTTTCTGGAAGCAATAGCAAGTCAGTACGAAATTCTGTACAAACGTATGGATACGGGCAGTCAGACATTGTAAATAGACCGTATACTGAGATGACAGTTCGGAAAATAGCCGGTACGTTTGGGAAGTGAGGGTATCTGTCTACAGTCGTTACTGACCGTGCGACGCAGCAGCTCGTGTCACGTCAAGTCGGAATGCGCGCTCAGGCCCGTTTAAAACAAATTTTCAACATAGCTTATCGGGTAAGATGCGATATAAAGGTGATACAAAAATAGGACCGCCGGAGGAGTCGAGTTGGCGCAGCGGATAGCGCGCTCGCCTACTATCCAAGGGGTTCAGAGTTCTCTCCCGGGTCTTTCCGTCGGAGCGCACTCAAAAATAGGTATAGTTGATACGAAGTTGCAAGTGAAAACGGGCAGGCAACAAACTCTTGACATAGGTAACTAGAAAGTGAGTGGACCTTAGCGGAAACAAAAAGTCCGGTGAACGAGCAGCCAGGAAGCAAAGCGGCGTTCTACTAAACAGGCGCAAATCACGCTAACAATTGGGGAATTAACCGTTGATTCGCAGGGGGAATCAACAGGCCGTTTAAAGTGCTTAAAGATGCTTATCCAGAAAGATCTCTGGTGAAGCACTTCAAAACGAGATTTCCCAAGGAAACTATTTTACGTCTCGTGAGGAGACTATAAACGGCTGCTACTACCCTACCATGCGTTTGAGCACTGTCTTCATCGGCCACCCTATCATCGCACATGAGTAAAAAGACGAACTTTCTTGCCACACCACTTCAGTGCCTGTGTTTGTTCGCTCGTATCAGGGTAGCTACATTGGTTGTCAAGCGCATGTCTAAATGCATGCCTTCTGCGATACATGAGAGACCAGGACAGAATGTAAATGGTTTATTTACAGCCTATATCCTAGACACCGGACATGGAATTGACGCTTTAACCTGTTTTAAGCCAATTTACAATGGACAAATCGCGGTACCAAATCTAACTAATACTTTCCATTGCAGAAGCGATTGGTCTTGATATTTTCGACCCAGGCTTTGTACACAAAAGTCGTTTTGTTCAGTCATTGAGCCTCGCTTGGATGTCGGATTCATGTGACTCACCACATAACCGTTTGGATATCCATTGGCTTGTATACGCATGTCTTCCATTCGACCGTCGCAATTTTAGCGATGGTATGTGAATTAGGCTCTTCTGCTAGTTTGTAGATTGCTAAGGTGGCTTTATTCTATGAAAGGCCGTGGGATTGTTGGGCGAGGCAAGCTTCCTTCGCTGACTATCTTGGCCCAACCATAAGCTGCCATCTTGACGTAGTGGTCGTACTTGAATGTTGGAATGATTCACACGCCAACATTGGATAAAACGTCGCTCCACATGTTTCACCCACGCCACTTCGTACTAAGGGTGACGATAATATGAGGCAGGACCTTCCAAATAAATCCCACCTTCGCTGTCTTGTGGGTCAAACTTACTCAAAGGCCAGGGAACCTCACTGTATCTCATCCCACTTTTTTATGGATCGAACTTTAGTGCTCAACGCTTAGAGTGCAATATATCAGAATAACTCTGTTCCCCCGTCTGGACCACCGAAAACTATCCTTCATCCTTGCAGCTCTTCATCCACCGGCCCTTCCCACCCATCAGTTGATCCACTGTGGTCAGTCCAGCTCTCACTTCGTGCCTGAATTACTTCCAGCTTTCTTCAGCTGAAAGGATCTGACCCTTTCACAGTATCCCTTGCTGAAGCTTTTTGTCTCTTCCGTCGATGTATGTTGTGTTTCCGAAACGCGCAGTCTTCTTGTGTACCTCGAACCGTTCAAGACGGGCTCAGATGCCCCACATCTACTTGTCTGGTATCTGACGATGCAGTGGCTCGTGATGCCTACGTTATGGGAGTTGCACTCAGCTACAGGGTTGGAAGCGATTCACTAGGCCATATTCTAGTGAACCGTCATCTTTATGCTGCACAGTTGTTCGGTTCAGTTAAGGTTAATGTAGGTTGATGTGTTTACGGATGCATATTTATCGTGTCAACATACTTCCTGACAGACTGCAGTCCTGGAGTTGAAATAGGTAGGTTTTTTATCGAGGATGATGACACCAGCTTAGTGTTGCTAATCGGTTGGTTAACTTGATGCTATTTGTCCATACCCTTAGCACTCTACAGACATGGTAACACTAGTTTCAGCACAACGGATTGGACGAGTTGGTGCCTAATTACTGTTCCTCAAACATCCAACAGTGAGTTACAAATCACTCACATCTTCAGCGTTAGGGATCAGCGACAGATAGTGTATCAGAAAAACTCTGATTTTCCTCGCGGTTGCAGCGTTCTCTCAGGGACTCTTCGGGCATAATCCACTCTTTGACACCTTGATTTTCGAAAAGAACACTCCTGAAAGACCTCGTATACCATGCAGGCAGAAACTCCATATTTTACCCGTGCATATGAGTGTTTATTTCAAAATTAGTTTTTCCCTGATGTTCCTTATGTTTTTTCTTCAGCTCCGGTGACCAGACGTCATTTCGTTTCACCTGTCCCCGAACTGGGCTTACTGCATTCTACTGTACGGTCGTGCGGTCTGCAGCTGCGGTTCGTAAACACTCCAAGCGTCATGCATCCCATGGACATTCGATGAAGGCGATCGAAGCTGTTTTTCTCGTCCCCTTTGGTCAGCACAGGTAATTTTTTAGCTCTATACGACTGTTTTTCTGCATATACCTACCAGTACTTTTTTCGCCCAATCTGTCCGCTGCATTACACAACACCTCGCAACCAATATGGAAGACCATATCAGCGATATATTCGTCCTACATTCAGCAAACATTTGTCAACCGCTTTGCTCTTGCACCTGCGGTCGTGCCCAGGTCATTCCAAAGTCTCGAACAGGTTTCCTGAACTTGCACTGGAGCGTAGTATGTCTAGTTTATCTAGTGTACTCGTAACATCATTTCGGCTGTGCCACTTGGTCTAAGTAACGTTACTAGACTCTGACTGGGAGTAACACCTATTCAACCTTCTCTAGCCTTCAACGTAAAACAAACTGACAGTGATAGGTGGATCTGTAGGCTTTGTATTCGTGTCATTTGCGTTTGAACAGTTCTCCCCCTGACCCGGCGCAGTTCTGGTGAGTCCCTGCCAAACAGGAGATGTAGTGGATTCGACTTTTGCCCTTGCTGAAGGTCATCAGCAGTGCATATCCTTGGTCACGCCGGGATTTTATCCTTGAACGTCTGATACGTGAGATGAGCGCGTTACCTCTACAAACTCACAGACACCGGAATTATTACCGCTGAATAGGCGAAAGTGTTCATTGATGAGCGGTTGTGACTGGCTTACCCAATGTCCGGAACGATGACCCAGTAACTGTCCTGGTTGTATTGATCGATTGACCCATCTTTCGGGACTTCTCAGTTGGGTAGATCTGCAGACACTTGAAAATTGTTGGTCGGTCTTCGTGAATTCCAATTGCTTGCGAGGTTAGTAGAATTTGCATTTACATCACAACGTACAAGTCATCAAATAAATTGTTAGGTTTCAGGCGTCTGTGGCTCTACCGGGAAGCCCTTTACAGACGAGTCAATCCGTCGGCACAACCGGAACAATTACTAGGTCATAGGCATCAGGTGCACTAATAACAAGCGCTCAGGCGTGAACATCTTCGACTGTCCGTACATCATAAACCTGGTGCGTTTGCCTCGTGTGTCAGATGTCCGGGGTTCAGACCCCTATACGAATAAGGGCACACACTGTTAATGAGATCTGAGGAGATTGGAACTCGAGTACACTGCTTTCCCCCTTTAGTGGAGATTCAGCAGAACAACTGCGTTGGGACAGCTTAAGGACTGCTCAAATGAGTAATATGAAAATGAAGTTAACCTACAGGTCAGGAACAGTGGTTCTCGACCAATGAGGAATCCCTATATAGGAAATTTCGCGGTTTCATAGAGGATGAAATCCAGAAACTGGAAAACTCCTGCGATGCTACTGGTAGCTTGACTACATTTCTGCTGCTGTTCCGCTTCATAGTTGCACATGTTTTCTGCCGCGTAGTTTCTGTTACACAGTCCTGTGTTTGAGATTAATCCTGAAGCCATAGTGTTTTTTTACTGCATTTGGAAATATTGGCCAAAATCTTCCCCTAAATGGATTAGGTGTACTTGTGCAAAAGAATGGATGAATGTTATTATGCTTATCTGAAGTCAGATGTTTGAATGACCAATTTAGGCCAATTAAGTGGCTTTTGGCCTGGCAATCAATCGGCAAGTAAGTGATTGTTGGGCTTATCGAGCAGTTCAGTATATGCTCAGCTATTCTTCGAGAGAGATGAAATTATGTTTTGCCACTGTAGTTCTGTATTTACTGATAGACAACTTGAGTAGCCAGAATATGGATCTCAGTTCAATCGCCATGTGCGAACTAACGTGAACTGAATCATCGACGGGTCCAAGTGGTTAGAGCGCGAATTTACTGACCGGAAGGTCCGTGGTTCGAATCCGACCTCCGCCACTCGACTTCCCCTGTCTAGGTTTGGGCAACCTGGCAGTATCCCAGCCCTCGTGCTTCCTTCGGGTTGCATGGTAGCTAGGCACCGGAAGGGTGCTATAGCTGAATGCTTTCCACAGTCAGAAAACCGCGGTTGATAGCGAGTGTCAGTCCGTTCTTCCGACCTAACCCGTCGCCGTATGCTCTTAAATCCTCATTTCTAAGTTTTAAGAGGTCTGACGTGAAATGTTTGGAAACGGTGCGATGCAACTTAAATTTGTGATCGTAAACTTCACCTGGCTTATCAACAGGCTGGTATTAACTGTTTGTTGTAGATTTCACATGCTATATATATCCATACTCGATAACACTCCAGAGGCGTTTGTCGCCGCGACTGTCGTGTCTGTTTTTCTGCTTACATAAAGTGACATTTCCTCACCCATCTGTCCAACTTCTTCGACCATTTCTTTATTATTCCAGACGCTCTGTCTATTCTGATGACTCTGAGCGTCGGTCTCTATGTCGCTCTGCAAATGTCTCTTCTCTACTTGTTGCACTGGTTAATCCACGCTTCTTTCAACCGGATTTGGATTCCTTAAAGGAACAGTTATCGACTGTACTACGCGTACTGCATTTCGAATCCCCTGAAGGCCACTCTAAGGTTAGTTTGTTTATAACTGTTCGTCGAAATTTCAAAATTCTTTTTCATTAGCGCGGTATATCTGGGAGGTCAGAAGCTGGAACGCATTCAGCTTGACAAAGATGAAGGCAGAGTCATCGATTGTCCCATTTTGTTTCTCATGGTCTGTACCATGATTTTTCAAAAGCAACTCCGCTGCACTGGGTACACTCACTGTTCACTGCCACGTCATATCGGCAATCCCTGATGAATCGAAATCTCTTGTTTTAACGTCATTCTGGGATCCTGCCGTTCCTTAGATCCATACATTGATCTTTGCCTTCCCCCATTTCAAAGGGTTTCATAACAGTCAATGGGAAACGAACAGGTGCCCAGACAGGGCCGCACGCTCGTGTCTCGAACAGAGTCAGGCGATCTTCATGTACTAAGATAAATGCCACTGATACGATATACGCTGTAATTTTTTCTCGTTAAGTACTCTCTTTGTAGCCCAAAGGGTGTGGAATTTTAGGGTCTGATAATGTTTGACGTTTAGTAGGAAGCCCTTTTTTCGAGTAGTATGATTTTCCACAAAAATTTATCAAACCCGACTGGAAATTCTCCACAGTGTTTTGCGATTTCGATTAAGCTCCATTATGGGGTTAAAAACCATCTTGGTCTCTACGTGATACTGCCAGTATTTTCTGCTAGACAGAACACATTATCCGATTCGACGACATTCGTCGGGAAAGCTAGTCTTGCTTGCCTAAATCCATGCAGTGTGATGGTGCATGACGAGGCTGGCCACTTCAACTGCTGCTTGTTAACCGAACGCCTTTATTGCAAACGGACTTTCTGTAAGTTGTTAAATCCCTTCTATCAATGATTCAACGAAGTACGAATCATCTTGTTCCTGATCTACAACGTCATAGACACAAGTTACGGCAGTTCTGCATGAATCAACCAATAAGTGCGTTGGGCTAGTTACGTAGTTTGAACGAATAAACAATCGTCGAGCGTTGGGAGCTTCACCAGAATGTACAAATTGAGGTGGAAATAACGGAAACTCGAACACCTCACTTGTCTATGGTATTCCTTAACCAAATTTTGCCTATGGATTCAGCTAGACTCATATCCAAGATATCGAATTACCGCCCTACCGCATTGGTTTCAACTCCACGCTTTTTAAATTTCCTGTTCAGGTAAGACATGGGATTGGCAGAATTTTGGGAATCATGCTTGCCTTATGAGTCCAACCGTCAAAGAGTTCTCCGACACTTTATGTACTTATTATGTTGATACAAAGACTGGTTTCCCGTTTTCGGGAAGGGACTTCGTTGAAGTTATTACCTCGAGCTTTCGCCCAACTATCTGGCCCACAAGCCAACAGGTGCTTTGATTTACCCTAGATACCAATCCAAAACCAATGACTCTGGTCCATTTTTTCATCGCTTAAGTCCTTTTTTCGAGTAGTATGATTTTCCACAAAAATTTATCAAACCCGACTGGAAATTCTCCACAGTGTTTTGCGATTTCGATTAAGCTCCATTATGGGCTCCTTAAGCCGGTGTGGGCCCCCCCCCCCCCCCCCCCGAATCCCATCGTATCGTGGCAACACATTTGCTATTCATTTCTAATCGTTGTTTCGTAGCTTCCTTTGTGCCAAAACTTATAAGAACGATGTTCTAGTCCAGTTTGCTCGAGAACTCATTACAGCTTTGAATTCTAGCCATCATGCCAAGAATACAATCCCTAGTCCGGATTTCATTGGCACAAGCTCCATCGAGTTGTTGCAGGTGATCCAACTTTTTCACACACCAGAGTGGGCGTCGATTGCCTTTGCTTCGCAATGCATATCCACAATTCCACTCTGTTTCTTTTACAGTCCCCAATTTTGAGTACTCCGGACAGTTACCTGCGACGCCAACTGTTCCCCGTCAGTTGTGAGGGTAAACCAGAGCGCTACTCCTTAGATGAGCTTGAAATTCACGGTGTGAATGATGGGAAAATTCACAAACTGAGGCGCATAGTCTATGCCTCTTCCGATATGCGACCAGTTGTGACTACCAATGCCGCTTCTGTCGGGCTACTCGATACACTTCCACCACGCGACCTTCATCTTCTAGCATGGAATAAACTTGTTCTGACGGCCAATGGATTGTACTTCGGTACTCCTCCAGTCGTGAGCTCCGATAGCTCCCAACTTCTCCACGCGATTCCAGTTGGAGATGTTGACGATTCGAACTTTCTGGAAATGTTTTCCCACTTATATCCGGATTCACGGTCAAAAATAAATTGGATTACATCGCTCGGCGAGCTTGTAGGTAAGTCTTTGTCTTTCTGACTTACTCATTTATATTATTTTTCATGGTACATTGTAGTAAGTTACCTATGGATGTACCTAACAGCATAATAAATTGTGGTTGGTAAGCCCTTTGACGAACTCGTCTGACCAATTAGCTCATATTGTCTATTTAGCCGCATCCACTTAAATCCCGTCCCGGCCTAGCGACACTGCTAAGTTTGAAGAGTCTTTTCTTGTTAGGCGGAATCCTGCTCCAGAAGCAGTCTACCGCTCGCAGTTAGGTGCTATTACAGCCAAGAGGCCTGACCCACATGCGAATTCACGCCTGCCGGCTCGACATCGGGTCGAGCTCTCATTAGCCGAACACGTGGACTCAGCAGCTAATCACCATTCCGTATCCGCTGGATGCCGGTTGCGAATGTCTCGTCCAGAAGACATCCAAATTTCCAATATCGCCGCGTGCACTTCGAATGCGACCTGCTTTTGGGCGTTTATTTCACTTTATACACCGTTGGTGGTTCTTTTGCTGAAAACGGTAGCCTGGGAGGATCCAACCGTCATCACATTTCAAAACACAGTTTAGAAGCCCTCGTTTATGGTACGAACAAATGAGTTCCGTCCGCTGCAGTGATGCAAGTAGCGACCACGGTAGCTCCCAAAACATGCCAACAGGGATTTCTCCCTACGGTTTCATCGTTCCCTAATTCCAGCTTTCAATAACCAATTTGGTGCGTAGAAAACTAGAAGCACCCGTTGGACGCTTCTCTTACGGATATCAAGTCTTGTCATTAGCGAGCTTCGCATTACGTGTGCATAATCCATAAGGATTTTGTGTTCGAATGAGGATGCATACTGCACTGAATCCAATGCAACCATCCCTATCGTAGACAACCTGTGAGGCCTTTGTGTGGCCGTATTCGTGTCTATACTGTCCTCTTGGTTGTGTGCTAGGTGCAAACTCCTGACCAAATGGTCCGTCATTCAAGTTCATTCCCTGGCTTTTCAGATACTTACGGATAAGCATGATTACGCGTCAGCTCAGTTCAGTCTAATTGTTGGGCTTTGAGCCAGGTTACGGTGATATTCTTCACTGGCAATAAATGATCAAGAGGGACAAGGCTGCACATCAAAGGCAAGCTCGCAACAATTCACCGTAGGTGGTGCTAATCGTAATTACTTTTTGAAATGTTGGAGCTAAGTCACGCCTCTGATACAAGGACGCAAACGAACACGTAGCTGGGTCGCGTCTGTCAATGTCCCTAACTGCTAGTTTCCTTCATCCGGAATCCCTAGTCAAGGGGCAGTGGCGCACTGATAAAATGTCATACGAACACCGTTTATTCACATGACCGCATCTAATTACTGACAGGATCGTCCGTCGTTCGAACCCAACCCCGGTGTCTCGACCGTGCTTGTCTAAGTTTGGGCAGCCTGATAGTATGTCAGCTCTCGTGCTCACTTCGGGTGGCATAGCTAGCTACCGAAAGTATGCTGCAGCTAAACGCTTATTTCATTTATATTTTATTGCTGACTTTCTTGACATTCTTGCATTAGGGCAAAGATATCCGGTGCGATCTCAATGGACTTCTCCCTTCAGACGTAGAAAATATTCACTTTCCTCTTATGGGATTTTCTTATGGATGTTAAAGTATGTTCCTTTTCACCCACGACACGATTTTGAAGGCCTTACTCTCCGCCGCATTGAGGACACTCCCATCGAGGTCTTTGACAACTCTGTTGTTTTCTTACAGTCCTTATGGCCTTTAACAACGGTTTGTTACCAATTAAAACGCCCTTTCAGTGCGCGTTTTTGTACACCCAAAATTTCCTTAAATAGGAACGCTTTGCATTCTGAAAAGTGCGTCGTATCAGTCCATTGTTTTTTTGCACGGATTTGTGACCATTTTCTCAGATCGAAGGTACGAAGTCCATCACACCCTTGGGTGTTTTACAGAGGTGCTTATGTGCATATTTCTCTTTACTGTACCTCTGGATAAATGTATTTTTTTTTGTTAAAATTGTGGTTAAACGGGCTGTTTAAATTCTCTTAGGGAGAATATTCTGAAGCTCCACTACAGGCTTTCATATCGGTCCACACTGCAAGTCACTTATGTCGTGTACAAGACAGTTTGTCATAATTAAGGTATTCAGTCATGTAGGTGTCCAGTACGACATTTGTATGCCTTTTTCTGTTTGTTTTAGCAGCTGAGCAGTACGACGCCATTTTCTATGATCCGCTGGCTGTGAGTCGTGCAGCTTACAGGTCGCTTTTTACGGAAGACGCTTTGAAGGCATTCTTGAACTGCTGCTGTACACATATGCACCCAAAAGGTACGTTGACCCAGTCGTTAGAAGATCGCGATTTTTTCCCAACTGGAAAGATCGGCCGTTGGATGGAGCAGCCGAAAAATAGAGAGTCACTATGTGGGTGGTATCCACTGTTATAAAGATCGTCATGTAAAAACCAAATACTGCAAAAGGCCTTCCACGACATCCGCTTTACAATAAAAACAGAGGAGGCTGTTGTAAGTCCAAAGTAACTTAGAAAACACGTGTGTAACGATACGGATGTACTGTATAAATGCGACTAAACAGGTCCGCTTTGTAAAAGTATGTATAGAACTCTGATTATATGTCCAGGCATCACACAACAGTTCGCTGAACGCACGCGTGCAAACTCTAGGACACAACCACTCAGCTACTATACTAACAATTCCGCGTTCCCAGGCGTACTGATTCTTGGAACAAGTGGTCAAGTATAAACGAAAATACGCAAGAAAACAAATACTGATCAGTTTCTGAATTACTTGAGCATCTACCCGAGCTGTTGCAAACGAATCCTGTTCAGACGGATCGAGATCCACTGCGACACAACTGAGTCGAAGACGTCAGTGTAGTGTATTTCGAGTGAGATGTTTCGTAAACCGTCATTATTGCTGGTAGTACTAGTAGTATTAGTAGTAATAGTACCAATATAACAGTTAGCAAGCTCGAGAGACTTCTGACAACAATGGATTTCACGGACTGCGACGGTCCCAGATCTGTGCAGCTTTGGTCGCAAGCTGCTTCCTCGGGAGGTGGTTCACAGAGGTGGCGCGCACCAAGCGGACTGCCCCGAAGAAGCAGCTTGCAAACAAGACTGCGCGCAACAGCGCACCGAGGTTGTGAAGAATTCCATTCACTACAGGCCTGGGATTACCACGCTCACTTGCTAACATGCAGCCGAGGATCTCGCTCACTTAGCCTGCGCAACGAATTGTGCAACTTCTGCCTAAGGCGAGTCACTGAATTCACGGTTGTCATTCATGTAAATAATACGACTGCTCAAGTCTGATAATGAAAATGTAACAATTTTCTGCCATATGACCGATACACTACAAAGTCCCATCAGAAGTACCTTGTATTGGTGCAAGTCACCTTGTACCACAAAGTTAATGAGGAGTAGAGAGCGTAATTTTCTGTATGTCGGTTGAGACTAGGTGGGACTTACAACAGCCACGTGCTTGTTTAATATTAGGAGGTTAGTAGACACAAATTTACTCATTCTTCTGAACTGCAACTAGTGGATGAACCCATTCGATGCAGGATATTTTCTCAGGCAGGTCGGCGCGAAGCATTTGTAGTATGGCATCTAATTGGATCGCTCTTTTATTTAACGGAACAGGTCGTCGTTTGGATATGCCGAACTGAACAGGATTCTCTTTCAATTTTATGTACTGCATGCTTGAGGTATCCTAATGTTGTTTTGAGCTGCTCTGTTGGTTCAACAGATACGCTAATTGCTTTAGTTTATACAAGGAAACAACTTGTTGGTGGTGAGGAGATTTGGGATTTTTGTGGTGGTTTCATCCTGCAAGTGAAGCCAATCTATCAATCTCGGCTTTTCAGCATAGGTTGGCTTCACTTACAGGATGAAATCACCACAGAGAAGCACCTTCTCTAAAACCATACCAATTCTGTGCAGCAGTGGCTTGTTGCCCTAACCCGAAACGAGTAAGCAGAGTATGTTTGACGAACAAAATAAACTGTGTGAAACCCCAAATCTGTAAGTTGTCATTCACATAACTTGAATACATGTGAACGGTTGACAGGGATTGGGAAGACATATTCTAAACGTGCAAAAGCAATAACAGTCTAAAAGTGAACAGAACGAATAACCGTAGGTGACTTGGGCGCCTGGTGGGTTTCAACCACCTGGTCTCCTATACATTCACTTGAATTGTTAGAGTCTTACGCAGTTTCAACTTGCGAGACTGAGCTAGTATAACACTGGTAAAACGGCTGAAGTGAACGCATTTATAACAGGTGTTGACTGGAGCGTCCTTTATGGCTCACCAGATGTTGTTCGCAGCCACAGTATTGATAAGTGCCGTTAGTGTATTGGTTGCGTTGAACTCGTGTGACCGTCTTTAGTCTGCGGATTTCAGGTTTTGTACATTCTGCACAAAATCGTTTGTTCTGTTCTTAAACGTCTATTTTTGCACGCAGATGATCAGAATGATCGCAAGTTAGTTTGTCTGCGGGCTGTCAGTAAGCACTGTATGGGTGACATNAACATCCTCGGCATTCCTTTGGACAATCGCACTATATTCACACGGACATATGCAACACAGAATCCGTGATATGAAACTTCAATATTTCCCACGAGATTGACGCAGTTGACCAAGCTTTTATCTGACAACCCACTGGCACACCCTACTGTTTTTCTAATACAACCAACATTTCCTTTAGAGACGGCTTCTATCGCGATTCATGGCATCACATACCCTTCAGTCTTCTGTACTAAGATAGAGACGTAAGGGTTTCAAGCCGCGTAGTCCGGCAATTTTAAGTGAAGTATTCAAAACTGATAGAATGGTAATGTTATCAGCATCCATTGTCTTCTAGGTATCTTAACCATCGGCTGTCGGTCGAAGCGGGTCTATCCAGAGCTTATCCGGAGCAGGGAGTTCAAATGGCGTGTAGGATCCCCATGCCACCTTATCTCCCGTGCACGGAACGCAACACGGCTAGAACAGACCATTTATTAGCGAGTCATAACAAAACTAAGGAATACACAAACACAACAGACATCGGCCTCTGGCCGGATAGAATCGTAAGTGGAGTCAATAAAGGCGTTGTCTTAGTCTGTGATTACGGCCGCCTGTACATACCGTGGATAGCAGCGACGCATGTGGAATGGGGTTTGCACAGCAACGTACCTAAACTGGTCGAAAGAAGAACGGACGTACCATCGAACTGCAGCTCTGATTCAGTGAAAGAAACCTGTCGTTCTTGGCTATAATCGTAATAACGGATTTCAGCGCACAGGTGGGGCATCTCAACTCATCAGAAGCAATCCTTGGTGGTGTCTAATCTCGACGTAAAACGCAACGGTAATGGTGAATGTCTGGCAAATTCATATTGATCACGGGTTGTTTCTCAGCAGTGGGCGCCGCCATGCTACCTTACACCCTCCTGTGGGTGCGGCCTTGATGTAAAGTGGACCACATCACGAAAAGCGCGTTTCAGTTCTCGACTTTCGGTTGTTTGGCACAGGTTGATCAAAATTATGCCCTTGTTCGGTGCAGATTTTTTACTGAATTTTCCCGATAAACCCCAGGAACGAACTCCTTGTTTAGCTTCGTGAGCCAAAAGTTGGGAAAGTATACCAAAGCTAACCATGCAGTACCACAAGCGGCCTTTTCTGGAGGGCATTGATGTTAAATAAGAGGGGATACGTGCGCCGGGTACTCCGCCTGTGGTGTTCCAGAACAGGTACATAGTAGCCGTAGAGCGGTCACTATCACTTCTCGATGCATAGCGCTCCGTTCCTTCCACTTCAGAATAATATCCTGTTAGACGGTCGGTTAGATGATAGTCCACACGTAGCCTGGACAGAGACGTGTTATTGATCAGGTAGTTCGAAAAGTGGTGCTGGCTAGTGTGGTTGGGAATACACGGGGACTGTTCCAGCCATTCCGCATTGAAAGGACCCAAAAGGCCCTCCGCTGGTAAACTAGCGATAACATCGTCAACCTTATACAAAGACCAGCGTCTACATCACTAGCCGGAATGTTTTCAACGACAGTTTCTGTATCCATATCAATCATTCGAGCCCTAACGGTGAGTGTGGACCCCCTCCATCAGTTTCTGAACCACTACTGTGACTTTCTTCCTTAAAATGTCATTGGTCTGCTAGGCCAGATGATCTTCCCAGGGTTGTTCAGAGATAAAGGGAAATCTTCATGTTCTAAATTGACTAGGTTGTTTGTCCAAACGAAAAATTGTTCCGAAGAACTTTACTTACCATGCTTCCCATCTCTCCTGCTTTGCCCATCATCGAGTTGTGGTGACTGGAACCAACTTACCTTCCATGTATTTAAGTAACCAGAAGATTCAGAAGTTTTATTTTGGCTTTCGTCTTGTAGGCAAATTACCTTAGCTAAAAAGCATAGGATCGTTGCACAGTTGTTCCGTCCCTGTTGGGAGTCATCGGCAGTGCACATTACATCAATCTCTAAAGGGATTCGGACTCGCGACCTGTCTGCTAATGACCGAGCCCTATACTGTCGGTCACGAATGGCTATTTCAAGTCGGGATCAGAAGCCTGACCAAATCACACTTAGGTTGGATGCAGAGCCATCTGTTTTTTAGTCCTTGTTGACTGAAATTTGCATGGAAAGGGAAAAAAATCTCATGAATCATATGTATTTCTCGTTTGAGTTGCCACTGGAGAAGCCTGTCAACACCCGCTTGATTGAAGGTAAGTGGCGCTACGTTTGTGAAATACGCTGCGGACCAGCAGCCCACGGCCGTAAAGTACAGGTTTAGCTATTAGATAGTCTCAAGTTCGGATATATTCATGAGGTGCGCACTGGTGATGCGCACAGCTGTACAGTGCTCATCCTTTCATCTCAGGGCGGAAACTCAATATCATAATCAATTTGTGATTGGTGGTTGATTGGTGTAACTTCAGTTAGATGCACGAAATTGGTTTCATGTTTATTGGTGGCTCCTAAACCGAAATGTTTTTCTGCATTTCAGGATTCCTGATCGTTGTCATGGAATCCGTGGATGACAATTCAGGACTGGACCACATAGATGTTTGCGGGACGTTGACCAGCAATGGCGAGCTTTGTTGTGTACTAAATTACACAGTTCCCGATACCGTCATGGACGACCCTTCTACAACCATATGTATTTTCCGACTTGCTTCCTATTCCCGAGAACTGGCGACTGCTGAATTAACCAGTCGAATAGCACTTCATCGAACAGAATCGGAACAAAGCAACCATATACTTTCTAAAACCTTTGAAGAAGTAAAGACCTTACTATCCTCCTGAAATATTGCTAGTTTTCTTAAATTCATAGAAACCGTACTCCGGTGAGCTTCGTATTTCTTTTACCCGACGAGTGACTTTTCCCCCGTACTGTCAGTGGCCGTAGCTGGCTTTGACAACTTGAGTGAATGTGCCGGTTGAGTTAGTCTGATTATGGCAACTGGGGCTTCCAGTTTCTCCTGATAACGGCCGGCGTCCACCTAGAGGGTTCCTGCAACTTAATGTTGACATTCATCTTACTCAAAAATAAGGTGCAAAATAATGAAATATTGTATCACTGTATGATTTCTGTGCAATTTGTACAATGACATGTCATCTGATCACCTAGGCCTACCAGAATGAATCGAGAAGTCAGCAGTAAACTCAAACCCCGGATTTTTCCGGTTATAAGTTCGCGCCGGAACCTCTGCGCCTTTTGTCGCTGTATTCTCACCTTCGTTAGTGAACGCGTCTCTGAATGACTCGTCAGCGATAAGTACTGTGTGACGACCACAAAGCCGTGAGAATGCTAGAGTAAAGCGCGAAAACGAAGGGTGGAGGGTGATCAAGGGTAAATAAAACGACATGAACGAGCAGGAGCATCGCATTGAATTAAGATGTTAAGTGAAAGGGGTAGCTTTCTGAAGAACTGATAGACGGTTCCGGCATCCATGAGAGCGAAGGCTCCCTGAGAGAACTTAATATATGAAACAGCGACAGTCATAGTACACATCCAAAGGTTTGTCATTATCATTGACAGAAACACCAGATGAGTGCACTGATGCACCACTACTGTACAACCGTGTTAACGACACCGATTTACTGCAGCTAACTGCAAGAGCAGCGAACCGATTTGTCCGTCCGTAAGAATGGATCTACGAAGAAATAGCTCGCAACGCCTCTTTTCGCTTAATTGCCCTGCTGTACGTAGCAAGTAACCCGAGCCGGCAGATGTGGTATGGGTTCGTATCTAACTATGCATCCACTGTAGTGTGTGAGTTGGGATACTGCCATGGTGCCCATACCTGGAGAGGGAAATGATTGGGGTCCTCAACCAAAGCCATTGCCCCAAAAGCCTATGCACAAGACAGCAGTGGTTGGCGTAAGACCGCCAAAGAGGTCTATGTCTTAGGGAGAATGTCCCCACAGATCCTCCAACCCACAACCTCGAGGGCCAGGAAATTGGTAGACCTCTAGCCATCGACCAATCTGAAATTGGTCTCTGGATGTCACGTGTATACTCCCCAGTAAATACTGGTTAAAATACTCATATTTTTCACACACTTATTCCTACTGCATTTTGTTGAGACGGTCGTTTGCGCCAATGCTCAAAGTAAAGCAACATGAGCAAAATTATCTTCAGCTCACCAGATCTTACTTAACTGTTTGGTCTAGATGATTCCAAAACGAAATCCAGGGTCAGACTCAGCTTTGATGAAAACCTGGATACATTTTCATAAACAAAGCAGGGAATAAATATTTTGTTCAAGGATCTTTGTGAAGACCTTCCGCAAAGATCCTCTGACGACCAGAGGACTGAATCGCTGTGTACGCTTTCGAGTCAGGCTTACTTAAACGAACACATCACTTTCCTGAATAGCTGTATCAAAAACTGGTAGCTCAAACATGACTCTGTTTGCCAAACTTGTATAGGGAGCTGAAGCGCGTGGTCAATGTTGGGAGATAGCCTGTTTGGATCGCCGCATGGGAGGCATCAATAAGTGATGACGCTACGAGAAAATAAAAAAAACCTCGCAGGTCTGGAGGCGAAGATTATCTCATTAGGCACTGAATGTATGTTAAACCGAACCAAGCGGAAAACGCTCAAACCTACCGTCTTCGCTGGGTGTGCAGTGACTAGCGAACAGTTTTATAAGTATTCGGGTCAAACGGAGAATGAGCCCCCTTCCCCTAAAAAAACGGTCCCGCCGCTATGTTAGAGACGGCCTTCGGGTTGATGTAAGTGATGCTGACATTTTGTCGACCCCAAAATGTGGCAAGATGCAAGTCTATGATAGAGAAGCAGAGGGGAACGGACGCTTTCATCCGAAAGTCATACCGTACACTTGGTAGCTATACGGTTGAGAGCGAAGAGATATTAGCTTGCTACCCCGTGATTCTAACCACAGGGCAAGTAAAGCCGACAGGCTCCACTAAGAAACGAAAAAAAACGATTGGGTGCTTCAAGTACGGATAGTTATACTTCCTTCTCATATCGCTAGCTGTAAGAATCGCGAAATTGTCTCACAGTGGTTACACCTGCCACGGTTTCGTTCTCCGATGATTTGGGGAGATTGGGTAGATAAGTGCGCATTGGAGGCGGTAGCTGACACTATTAGTGCTTAAGTACCGTAAATATAGTGGACCTTTAAGTGGGGAGACTAGGAGGGGAGCAATGCATTGGATGCACGAGCGTTACTGTGGGTGTGAATGGGCCATGTCTGACAATGACTCGGGGTCACCATTCAGGGAGACGGCAATGACCGGCGCAGCTGAGTTCGCTGGTAATGGCTTCTATCCTTCGCTGCCAAGTCATTGTTTGGCAGTTTCTGGCTCGTTTCCACCCTTCACGCGAAAAGAGTCCTTCAAGGAACTTGGTTGACTGACATACGGAGCAAGCGACCAAGGCAGCGCCGTGTGATCAGTTCATCCATCATCATCATCAAAGTCAGCAACATCAGTGTTGCCACTGATGCTTCACCGCCGTACAACCATAAGGTTTGTCTAGTTACATATATGTATATATATATATAATTGTATTAAAAGCCCTAGAGCGAAGAGAAAAAGAGTGGGTGAGAGATGG